CATACCTCACGAATTTAGGCGTCACTTTGCAGCAATGCACAATGTTTTCAGAAAAGTAAGATATAATGGCTCTTTTATGGATTTGTCACAGCTACTTGGAAAGTTACCACTTGGAAAACATTACGATTCTTTATCTTTAGATACATTTCATCACCATCGTCCGTAGAACTGGAAAGAGCGACTGTTGTTCTGGCGACTCCTCCGTGTAGCTACACCGGCGTCCGGGACATTGTCGATCTTGCCGTTGCTCGCGGTGGTGACATTAATTTATTAGAATCATTAACTAGTGATACAGCGGGTGGGGTCAAACAGCCCCACGTTCTTCTGGCCGAACAATTTTCCACGCTCAAGTATGCACTAACTAGACCAAATATACAGTTCCTAATATACGAGGTGCATACGATCTTGCCATCCGAAACTACGGAAATGATTCATCAAGTTGTCGAATATGCCAATCAATTAGCCATGGAAAAATACATTCGTGAGCATCTTGTAAGTGGACTTTTTATAGGATATACAGAATATCTGGAAATAATCGCCAAATATTTCATGGGCAGAGAGGACTAAATTGAGTCGAAAAGTCCTCTATCATTTTGCAATTTTCGCAATAGTTAACAAGATGTTAATTACTAAAAATTGCTAAATATTGGTCTTGAATAATTTTTTATTCAAATACTATCAACTTTATAGAAAAGCTGCAAGAGACAAAAATCATTTATTTTCTTCTCATAAAGTTCTAAGAATTTTTTCAGAATTTTTTATCAACTTTTTAGCATTTTACTTAACTGCATTTTCTTTTTTTTACCAACATGAGAAAATATGGTATTAAAAAATTCTAAAAAAGTTCTGAAAAAATTCTATGTAGTTTTGTAAAGTTGATAGTATTTTTTGAGTTGATAGTATTTTTTTTTTAAATTAGAAAGATTCAAGACCAATATTTGGCAACTTTTAGTAATTAATATCTTGTTAACTCTGTATTATTTCTAAATCGATTGCACATGCAGTTATTGACTGCATTTGCTTGAATGATTTATTGTAAACAGGAAAACGTGTCGTTAATCACTTATGATTATAAAACAAAAAAAAATAATTTCAGGCTCTCAGTAGTATTTAAAATGAAATTAGTAAGAAAAGCCACTGCAATTATTGTTAGCATTGTATACAATTTTAATGTTTAATTTATATCTAATGAATACATAATCCTTCTTATATACTTCAATTATATTTAAATATTCAAACGTTTTAACTTATTTTAAGCTATCCTCAGCGATAAAACAATTTTAATAAAGATAACCTACACTGATTCTCTATTAGTAGACGACGTACATGAGTTTTAAATTTCAAAGCTATTAAGAATGTCCATCTTATAATTTATTATGACTATAATGATTATTCATATATACGTTATTATAATTGAATTGGCGATGATTTGTTTCAAAAGTATCTTTAAATATATTACATATTTTTTCACCCGCGTAACACGTTCACTTAATTTCTAAAAATAATATATATTTTGTTGTCTTATAGCCAAAGAGAAAGATACTATCCAAAGACGGAAAGATTCCAAAATCGATTAAAACTGATGTGCATAGGCAGGAACAATCGCGAGAACATTGGGAGGACCAATCGCAACACGAACAAATGTTTTTCTGCAAACGGGAGGACGAGGAATATGAAAAGTTGTTGGATACGACTGATATTGTTGTAAGATCACTCATAAGTATAATATATGCGAGTCAAATTATCGCTTATTAATAATTATCGATCAATACTTATAAATAGTTATAAAATTAAATATATCGTTAGATCCCCGATAGCGATTTGTTCGAAGTGGGAACTATCGATGAAATTTATGGAGAAACGAATGAACATATGTTGGATCCGGGCTGTTTCATCGCTGTGATAAAACGAAAGGAAATGATGCAGTTTGATTCGCTTTTCATGATCAAAGTGGCAGAATCAAAAGGACTGTTTGGTGATCCTGACAAACAACGAAATCCGAAGCAAAAAGCCGAAATACCATCGGCGACACGTCAAACGTTACAAATCAGCCGCAGAGGTTTCAAGCGTATCAAAGTATGTCTCAAATATATACTAACAATAAGTACTTATTAGATATCAGCTTGTCTATCTGATATAAAAAGCGATATTGATGCATATATGAGATAAAGACATAATTATTTAATTCGGTTGCGATCAATTGATTTACGACAATTTACGTTTACTGTTTTGCTTTGACTGCGTTCAATGGAAAAAAAAACAACTTTGCAGATATAAAATTCTTTAACATTTGCTTGTGGCTTATACATTTGGATCAGTAAGATATATAACTAAAAGCAAAATCAGTCATATTAAAGAACATATTAGAAAAGTTACAAAGTTGCTTTTCTGTTAAATACAGTCATTAACTACACCGGGATATGTTGACTCATTTCAAGTAGCTACGATCTTTATAATTTATATTTTCGAATGCATAGGTCGAAATAGATCGCGTAGCAGCGCCTACACATGCTTGGATGCTGCGAGCTAAGAATAAACGTCAACCATGTCCTCGTCATAGCCGACACATCGTTCGAGATGAAAAATTATTATCGATGCAAATACGTGAAACACGAAAACGAGATGCACGTCGATGGTGGCGAGATGCAATCACCTTCCTGGTTGATTCGAAAAGTCACCAAGATTCTATGAAAGATTCCCAGTTTTATGCGACGCGTTCGGATCCATTTACGCAAAAACCGCTATACCCTTTTCACGCGAAGAAAATGCCGTTAAAATGCCATCGTCATCCTCAACAGAGAAATTTGGCATTCGATTCGATTTTCATCTAGAATTTAATGTAATCGTATAATTGTGCTAATGTTCCTACAATTGTCGATATGGGAATGTTGATGAATATAATCAGCGTGTCCGTAATGTTGAGAGAAAATATACGCTTTTAACTTTCGCATATGCAAAACACACCCACACACACACACACACACATACACAAAAGAGATTTATGAATAAAATCCGCATATTTTTATCCTAGGGGAAAAAAATAGATTGCAGTTCTATACTTTTTAATCATGCTCAGGTAACATTAAAACAGGGACATTTATTGTTGGATCGATAAGTACTAACTAGCACATTTTGTTGTGTGTATATCTTTACTCTTTCCATTTTTAGGACAATTTCAATGTCATTCTTAATTTCATTTTTAGAATTTCTAATTAGGGAATGAAAGTTTACTTTTTAAAAGAGTTACTGAGTAAAAAAAGTAACTCGTTAGGGTTACTCGAGAAAGTAACTTTTCGTTACTTTTCCATTACTTTTTAAAAATTGACAACCACAATCACAGCGAACAGGCCTAGGGCTTTCTATTAGTTTCAAGCGTTATGAATAGTTTGTTGTGTCCAATCGTGTGCAAAATAATGATAAAAAAATAACTGTAAAATTCATTATCAATTCGTTAGCAAAAAAAAGTAACTTTGTTACCGTTATCAAAGAAAAAAGTATTTATATACCAGTAAAGTTACCATAAAAGTAACTTATAACTATAACTTCGTTACAAATAACGATTAGTTACTTCCGTTCCCTGTTTTTACTTGGTACGGAAGAAACTTTTGACGATGTACTCTCTAAATTTTTTCGAGTGAAATCTCACTTTTTTGGAGTGAAAAGTCACTTCAAATATTCATGAAAATACCACGAATCAAAGTGAAGCGAAATTTCATTTTTTCAAAAGAGTGAAATTGTTCACTCTTCATTTGGATTTATTCTTCAATTTTCAAAAAAAGTGACTTTTCTCGGAAAGAAGATGTTTTGTAACCTAATTATGAAGTCGCAGGCATTTTTTGACTAAATCTTGAAATCTCTAAATACTTTATCTATACAAACATATTAAAGATTGAAGACATGAATTTCGATTTATTACATTTTACTAACATTTTTAGTAGAAATTAATTTCTTTCACTATCCTAAAGTACCTGTATAAAATACCTTAACCTCTGTTCGTATGCTTTTGATTTTTATTTTATGTATGTACAAATGTATAAACAGGTTTACTTCTGATAGATTCATTCTCGAGTTTGTCAAACACTTGACGTTGTTCATAACAATTAAACACAGTTAATAATTGGCAATTATAAACGGCACTTGTACAAGAACAAGAACTGAGAAAGCGTTAGGCGTGATTTGGCGAGATTTCTGCACTTTAAGTCGTAGTAAAATTTAGAGCATTAATAATTTCACTTTAAAAAATAAGAGTGAAACTTTTCACTTTTTGTCTTAGTGTGAAAGAATTTACTCTATTAAAGTGAATACTTCCTTCACGTAGAGTGAACTGGCCAGTGACTCCAGGATTAGAGTGAAAATTTCACTCGAAAAAATTTAGAGCGTAAGCAATAGCTTTTGTGTTACAAGATTTTTTTCGAGAACTAAATATAGTAAACATTGATCTCACTCATCCATAATCAAATGCATGCTCGATCTCAATATCGAGTATAAATCTCAATCGGACTTTTATCTATAATATATACGTGACTTTTTTTACTTTTTTAAAGATCAACATTTGACTTATTTTTCAACATAGTCTCTCTTTGAAAAGTCATTGATTTATCAAACTGCCCGTAATTATAATACTGCTGTATAATAAACGCATATAGTTCTTGCGATTGGCTTCAAACTTATCTTTTGAATTTGTTTCTTATGATAAATGATTAAAACTGTTTATAAAAAGTAGATGCGATTGTGCTTCGACGCTTTTTATACACAGAAAACATGCGTCCCGAATATATCGACACATGATGACACATATCTGTGTTCATGGATACATCAAACGTTGACGTATTTATAATACGATTGTCATTTTACGATTGATCAATTCAATTGAGAATGTGAGAATGCAAACAATAATTGTAAATCAATATTGATGATTTAATTGAATCAGTTATTTTGGAAAACTCAAGTTTTTTCAAATATATAAAATTACTCCTAAATAATTGTATTTATGTTACAAATAGTAATAGATGTAGCAAGGTACATCTATTGTAAAGCAGGAAGAAAACTATGTGCATGGTGTACGTCGTAAAATGTCATATGTGCTGTAGAAAATTGAATGATAAATGTCGATTTGAGAAGACTGACGTCGAAGCAACTTTTAAGAGGGGAAAGCAATTAAGAAAATTATCTTATAAACATCGAGGGTTGGATATTATCCGATAAGAATGTATTCAATACGGGCAAAGTTAGGATTATCACTTGGACGTTGTGGCATTAAGATGCGGTACAACTTATTATCACGTCGCAACGCCAGCAAAGAAGTTGTTGTAGAATCGGTATCTGCAATATATTTATCAGACTTTTTTTTCTTTTTTCTCCCCTCCTGTCTCTGCCTTTCTAGTTGAAATATTTTCAGAAATACGATTTGTATCGGCTTGATAAAGGGCCTGAGAAATCGACATTAAATAAAAAAGATGCTATATATGCACTGAAGACAATGCACTATATACGTCGGATGGAGAACAAATCTGCAGAGCTGTACAGAGAGCGGCTCATTAATGGCTTCTTACATTTATACATTGGTCAGGTAGATGAGAAAAATCTAGATGGTGCATTGTGAACCAATGATTGATGAAAAATAAAAACACAATATTTGTAATATGTGTCGTAGGAAGCTGTAGCTGTAGGTCTGAGAATGAGTCTAGCTGATCAAGATACTGTTGCTGCATCATACAGATGCCACGCTTTAGCTGTTGTGTTCGATGTCTCGAGTCGCGCGGTTTTTGCGGAACTCATGGGTCGTAAGACAGGTGCGGCCAAAGGTAAGGGCGGCTCGATGCATATGTATGCCCCGCGGTTCTACGGTGGCGAGGGTATCGTCGGCGGACAGGTAAATCTCAGGGCTCTCTCACTTTTATTATACTTTCGGCTTTTATTATTCAAATGGTTTAAATCTCATCAAATGTCTATTAATTACTTTACTATCTCATTACGATTAGGTACCTATCGGCACCGGTATGGCTTTGGCCCACAAGTACAATGGCACAGGTGGCGTAGCCTTTACGTTGTATGGCGACGGTGCAGCTTCGCAGGGTCAAATTTATGAAGCTTGGAACATGGCGAAGCTCTGGAATCTACCGGCAGTCTACATCTGCGAAAATAATAAATATGGTATGGGTACGGCCGTGCATCGACATTCCGCCAACACTCGGCTTTATACGCGCGGAGATCTCATACCAGGAATAAGAGTAAATGCATACATTGCATTCGTATGCTCTGTCTAACGCTACTCTATAGCTGTGTTCTATTATTTATAAAAAAAAAACCAAAAAAACGCTCTTACTGGATGAGGTAATGTCATGTCCATTACATCATCCAATATCCATGCTACAATGTATACCTACACCCGAAATCCCATCGCGTATAGGTTGATGGGATGAAACTCATGGATGTACGAGAAGCTGTACGCTTTAGCAGAGAGTATGCACTCAGAAACGGCCCGATTGTGCTGGAGATGATGACTTATCGCTTTTATGGACACAGTATCAGCGATCCTGGTCTTTCGTATCGCAGTAGAGAAGAGATTAAAACTATGCAAACCGAGCAAGACCCAATCATGTTACTTACCAAACTCGTCATAGAGAAAGGCCTTATGACCGAAAAAGAAATCGAAGTATACACTTGAAAACCAAAAATATTCTTAAACTTTATTGTATAATGTACATATGTATATAAATATGTACATGTATATTATGTATATTTTTTAAAATTCTTTTTTAAAATGAACAAAAGTTAAAAATTTGCTTTAAATTTTAATTTACGATGACGCAAACTGACGCAAAATGATAACTATGTTTTAATTTAATTATTTGTTATGTGTTCAGGACATACGAACATCAACTTATAAAGAAGTCGATGAGCAAGCGGAGCAAGCCAAGGCCGATGCGTGGCCAGAAATGTCGGAACTCGCGACCGACGTTTATGCCAAACCATTAGAAAAAGTTCGCGGTAAATCCCCTTGGGAATTACTCTGAAAGAAAGGCGACATAAAGGGTTATCAATTATTCTGTGATTTCTTATACTTTCGTAAGATTTAAATTACTCATGTTTGATATGACTATGTATGTACTTATTTTGCTAATAATATTTCACGTGTAGAGGCGAAACGTGAGTATCTTTTAATGACTTTTAAAACTGTGGAGCGGCAATTTGAAACTTTTTAAAAGCAATTCTTCTTTTTTTAAGCTCGACTAATTATAGCCAGAAGTAACATTAACATTATCATGTACACTCTAAGAAATACTCAGAGGAAAGAACTAAATCTAAGGATTGCGCGATTTGAATTAAGTGAAGCATAATTAAGTCAAGAAAAATAAAATCCTAATTAGACAAATAACTTCACTAATTAAATGAATATCTTCACGTAGTAAAATATTCTAAAAATTTAATCAAAGTATATGATTGACCGATCTGAAATATGGTTAAGTATATTAATAAATATTCATTCAAGCAACTACCACAAAAATGATTTAACTGCGTAATAATAATAAATCTGCATCTACATGGAGATCAAATCAATCATAGAGAAAAGTACATTGAACTAATTATTTACGTAATTCGATGTGATGCAGCGGTACAATCATATTTATTATTTACAAAATTAATTAAATCATTGGTAATAAATGAACATGAATGTAACGTAAAAATAATAGAACTTAAAAGTAATATGAATTCAATAAATTATTAACGGTACTTCACTTTGATTTAGAGCGAAGAAATGTTTTGTGGAGTTATCAACAGATGGCGCGTGTACTCGTAAGAAAAATTCGTCTATTTATAATAATATATAATACATAAAGCGAGGATGGTCAAATGGTCTTTTTATACACTTCTTACCACATCATGGCGACATAAACATTCTTTTTAAAGCGGCTACTAATCAATCGATCTATTTATATATGGTGGAAAGTTTTAATGATAAATTAAATCATGTTACAAAGAGTAACGGGATCGAATAAATTCAATGAGTTGTCATATTAGATGAATTATTAAATCTACTTCACTCGAAGACAAAGTAGAGATTACTTTAAAATTAGTACTATCAATAATTTTGAGTTCTCGTTACTTTGTAAAATAATCAGTCAAATGTTAAAATCAATCCATTTTGCAGATTTATTTCATCGTGTTCATAAAATTATTTTAATTGACGATACAATTACGTTTACTATCAATAATTTAGTTTAATCAACTACATAAATATTTTACAGAAATAAATTCAATGTTTATTTAACATAAGGAAGATATTAAAGGAAGTTAAAATGTTTCTTGACACAACTCAACAATTAGTTCGCCATATTTAACTCTGAAATTGAATTGGTTTACTTCAATTCGAGTTGAATTTCCTGATCTTTTTTTACAGCGTATTTGATATTCATGTAGCAATCTATATTCTCGTTTCAAAAACGATTCATATGAAATAGAATAGTTTAGGTTTGGACGTTTAATATTATAATTATAATATTCTGCCATTGACTTTTCATGCCGAGTAAATACTTTTCATGCCTGCATATTTCTCCTACATTACATAGGAAAATCCTCTCGATTTCATATGTTACAAATAAATATTCAATATACATATACATATAATAAATCTATACGAATTAGTCTTGATACCGACTACGTTTTTCGATTGATCTGATATTGATGTCACGAAAGCAATCGCAATCGATCTTCCATATAGAGATTTGAAGAATTTTTCAGTAAATTTTCAACGTCCTCTCTACGAGATCGCGCTAGATAGAGAGGGTCATGCAGAGTAAAAGAATGAATCTTGTCATTTCTTTCGTCGACGAAGAAAAAACGATCAATTAAAACTGATCGTTTTAAATGATGAGAGAGCGAGATTTAGAGAGTAGAACGGAGAACGGTAGAACGACGAAATGGCAGCGGAGAGATGGACTCGATGAATGAGTCAGATCGAGAAAGAGGCGTAGGGGAAGCGCGGTGGAGCCAACATGGTAAAGCGAACGAGACAGACGAGACTACGAACGTCTCTGCGGGAGTCGCCTTACGTCGCTCGCACGTGTCACGTCGCGCTAATTGAATTCTAACGAGACGACAGTCGCTTGACGATACGTGGATGATATCGAGTCCGAGGATCATCCGAGAATCAGCGCATCTCTGTTTACTCAACGTTCCTTTCGTTTCAACCGCGCAGCTGACACGCAGTTCAAACGAATCTCTTCGTCCTGCGTGACCCCCTCGAGTAGTCTCAGGGAAAGCGGCTTGAATCGGGCAAGTATCCATCCTATTCTTTCTTTTTTGTAAATTTCCTTTTTTCGGTACATCTTTCTCTCCATAATTATAGTCTACGTACCTTGCCGCCCGTAGGAAAGTTCAGTTCCAGTAGTTCGTACTTATAATTTGTGCTACGCCCCTAAGTTTGATATTTAATTAGAGCTCAAAATTAATTCAAGTTTAAGTAAAAGTTACAGCGAATGGATCGAAAGGGCGGTGCTTGAAAGTTTGCAGAATATAGAATACGATGATTTGAGGTGGATGAACGGTCGATCGTTCAAAGTTAATAAAACTCAACGGGCAACGAGGCGAACGCGGCCGCGTCATCGAGTAAAACGTTCAAGGAATTCTTCGCCTGGATAGACAACGATAACTCGGACCGAAGTAACTTGGACGACGCGACGTCGTGTATTTGTTTAGCATGATATAGAAAGGCGATTTGTTCGACATGTCATATTAATGACTCATTTTTTTCCATTTCTAATACAAAATATATTATATGTGGCTTGTACATTTTACATTGTATTCTTGAATTAATACACATTGCGTTAATTGCGTTGTATATTGTACACGTAAAATAGTTTAGCAACTATTTTTATTACAGTAGATACGAGATAGGAAATATTTCACTTATATGGTTGAAAATTTAAATGCTTGATAAAGCCTTATCTGCAATGGTTGTATCTCGCGTGGTATATCCTGTAGGAACTAAAATATAAGAATGCCGTTAATATAAGCAATGAGTATTCTATAATATATTAAAACGTGTCTTCCCTGTATTAATACTAAAACTGAAAATAGTAGAATACTAGTACTGAAAAACTGCGCCCTGACGGAGAAAAGGAAGGTAATAAATATTTGTCTTTCTAACTCTTTTCTAAAAAAAAAAAAAAGATAGTATTAGCCAATCAGCGAGTCCCTGACAAAGAAAACGATATTAAAATTTTTACATCAGAGTGTAATTGTTGGAGACTAAGTGAAACACTTTTACTCTTTTAATGCGCTCCAGTACATTATAGACCTCACTTAATATAGCAAGCTTTATCATTGTTGTAAATCCTTTGATGGAATATTTCAGGCTTCTCAGGCGATTATTTCTTAAAAGCGAGCACCGCCACAAATATAACAATATGGAAGTCGACATGAACATTAACGATATATTGCAAGTACTGCGAGGTATGTATATTTAAACGACAAACGCGGGAAATTTTTTACGAAATTTTTTTCGCGCAAATGAATGTAAATTCATGTATACGCGAGATGTATATATAGATATATACTTTGTTGACAGAAATGATAACGTTTCTGGAATGTCTTGGCGACGCGCAGCTTCCACTTACGCTCGAGAGCTTGAGGGAGAAGCTGTTGATACGGTCGAAAAACACTTTAGGCGCTACTCAAGCATCATCCCCGGAACCTTACTTGGATATGAAGTCCGGGTTGAGAAGCCTATTGTTGACCAAGAGCGAAGCCGATTCAGAAGAATACATCGGAATGGAAGAATCTCAAAAGCGTACCCAGATCCACCCTCGCACGTACAGTCATCAGGATTATTATGAAACCTTCGAAAATAATGGCTCTCTCCAGACCGCAAGCGCGTCATCGATCACGAATGTGAAATATCTCGAGCAAAGCGACGATCGGGACGAGGGGGGTCAGATGCTGATGGGAATTTACAAAAATGTTTCGGCGATGCAAATTAAAAGCAAGTGTTACAAATGCGGCCCGCTCTACAGGAAAGAAGGAAAGAAGTTGTTTCTATCGGAAAGTCGTGCTTGCTGGATCGCATTGGTTGGATCGCATCTGCTCATCTATCGAAGCGAACGGCACAATCGACCGTACGCGATCTATTCGATTCGGGGTTACAAGGCCCGCCCGGCGCCAAATATGATTCCCCGTGATCGACAAAAGAGCGAATCAGCCTTCGAGATATATAGCCCTGGAAACCAAACGTTACAGTTTATTGCGAGAACGCCCCAAGAGATGGACCAGTGGATAGCAAAAATCTGCGAAGTAGAATGTTGCAACGAGAGCGAAAGGAACAAAGCAATGGAGGCTCACGAAAAGAAAAAGCGGGCTACTATCGTCGAATCCTCGCCAACAGATCACAGCCGTAGTAACGAGGCAACGCGACATCAAGATGCTGACAAAAAATTAGTTAGTGTCGACAACTCAACGGCTAAAGCCGAATTGCCGAGTAACAGGAATAAAGTTGAGCGAAAAGAGAACACGGACGAAAGGACGCCTTCGCTACCTGCCCGAATACCTCGAAGGCTTCCTTCTTTACCTCCCGATAACGAAATTCTTACGGTGTCCTCTCACAGAGCGACCGTCGACGGTGACGACGACGATGATGATGACATTTATCACAGAATCGAAGACCTGAGAAATGAAATGCGTTATCAAAATATAGTATTACCAAAAGAAAAGCAGGTTGGTGTTAGTGATGAAAAGCAGGAGGAAGCTATCGCGTATGATGACATTGGTGCGCGCAACAAAAAAAACGAGAGAAATGAGAAGGTGAAGGAAGATAAGTCCTGTGATGCAATATCGTCTGAAGAGACGTACGACGATATCGTTACACTTTTGCGAATAAACGCTACGAAGATCGAGCCGAAACGAAACTTGGATAATGATTCATCCATCGATGTATTTATCGCTGATGGGGCGGCCATCGAGAAAAAAGAAGAATTTTACGACGATGTGGAAGTAAGCCTAGTATTAATGATTGCAAAAACAATGCTTTTCTCTCTCTCTCTCTCTCTCCCTCTCTCGCTCTCAGTAGAGCAATACAGTAAGTCAAGTAAGAGCGTGGTCGATCAGCGTGTTGCACCATTTCATGTTATTAACCTTGAGATAGG